CCGACCTGGGGCGCGCGCCTTGCTGACGGCCGACGGCGGGCGGGAGCGCGCGGGTTGGCGGGCGCACGCCTGGGGGGGAGGGGCGCCCGCGGCCCCGCCCTCTGCGCCCCGCCTCCCGCGCCCAGCCGGGGGAGGGGGCTGCCGAGGCCCCGCCCTCCCTGTTCGCTCCCCTGGCGGAACCCGGGCCAGGGGTGGGTGGCCCGCAATGTCTCGCGGAGAAGGGGCGGGGGCCAGGCCGCGAGTCACCTCCGCGCGTCACCTCCGCCCATGCCGGCGAGTCCCCTTTCGCGCGCGCCTCCAGCCCGGCGCAGACCCGAGCTCCGCCACCCTGAACCCCGCGGGGCCCGCCCGCACGTCTTGGTGCCCGCCCAGCGGTAGTCCTTTCCCCCGAGGTCGTTAAGAGGACTAGGCGCAGGCAGCCTCCTGTCTGGCTTCCGAATCGGCCAAACACCCTTAAATCCCAAGGAGAGCCCTCTTTGCACACACGCGGTGGCCAGTGGCACAGTGGAGCCCTCGCAGCCTCTGCCTGCAGGTCTTCAAGCAAGCCCAAGTTCAAAGAGCAGGGGTTTTTTTTAGAAATTTTTGCTATAGGGTGGTGCTCTCCCGACAGAGACAGAGACAGAGAGACAGATACCTAGAAATCACCTCCCAGGAGGGACCAGCAGATGGCGTAAAGACTATGTCACTGGACTCTGATGTAGTCGGTCGCGGTTCGAGTCCCAGACTGGGTGGCTTAAACTCACGCGTCTGTATGTGCGTGCCCAATATTCTGGAGAGGAGGATGAAGGGATTGCGGTGTGGCCATCCCCCCTGGAGAGTGATTTCTTGCTTTCTGTCTCTCTGTCTCTGTCTTCTGGCGAGCACACACACCCTATAGCAAAAACCTCTACAAAAAAAAAAAGGAAAAAGAAATCACCCCCTAGGGGCGATGGCCATGCTTCCAGTCTGCACACACACACACCCAGCATGGGTATGAAGGACCTCTGGGTCCGGTACTCGAACCATGGTCAACTACTTGGGAGTCCAGCGACATAAGCATTATACCATCTACTGGTCCCAGAGCAGAAGTTCTTAATTTTGATGAGATCCCACTTATCAAGTGTTTTTTCTTTTGTGGATTGTGCTTTTAGTATGTGTCTTAAATACGTTTTTGCCATAGGGCTCTGCGCCCTTTGAGGAGGGAGACAGAGGACAGTGAGAGAGACAGTGAGAACTCACCCCTTGGAGGGATGGCTACCCCACAGTCCCTTCTCCATTCTCCTGCTGGGATCGTGGACGTGCACAGGCTCCCGAAATGATTTTCAAGCCACCAGGTCCAGGACTTGAACTGCGTTTGGCCATGTCCTACGGGAGTCTAGCAACGTAGCCAGTACGCTACCTGCTGGCCCCGTAAATTTTGTTTTGTTTTGTTTTGTTTTAATGATTTTAAGTTTATATACTTCTTTCTTTTCTTTTTTCTCTTCTTTTTTCTTTTCTTTTTGAGAAATTTTTGCTGAAGGGCGCATATGCTTGCCAGAAGGCAAGAAATCATCCCGGGGGGATAGCCATGCTGTTATCCCTTCTCTTCCATTCTGCTCTCAGGACTTTGGACACCTACACGCATGCACTCAGCGTGAGTTTCAAGCTGCTGGGTCTAGGACTTGAACCATTGTTGACTATGTGGAAGTCTAACACCTTAAACACTTTGCTATCTGCTGGCAAAAACCCTGTTTGGGTTTTTTAAATAGACTTGTCCTTAACCTAGTAGTTAAGAGACCTGGATCCTGGGCACCAGAAGGTGGCAGGGTGACTAAGGTGCTGGATTTCCACATGTTCAACCACAGTTCGAGTCTCAGACCTGGCGGCTTGAAACACACGAGATGCATGTGCATGTAAGCCTGAAATCCCGATGAGAATACGGAGGAGAAGGGACTGGGGCATGGCCACCACCCCGGTGGGGGGAGGGGGTGATTCCTCACTTTCTGTTTCTGTCTCTCTGGTGAGTGCACATGCAAAAACCTCTCTCTCTAGAAAAAAAGAGAGGGACCACCAGTTGGCGTGATGGCTATGTCGCTGGACTCCCATGTAGTCGACTGCAGTTCAAGTCCCAGACCCGGTGACTTAAACTGTTTCTGGGCATATGTGTGTGTACGCCCAAGATCCCAAGAGAAGAATGGAAGACAAGGGATTGCAGTGTGGCCATCCCCCCAGGGGCGGTGTGTGCGTGTGTGTGTCTCTGTGTGTGTGTATGGGGCGGTGTGTGTGTGTGTGTGTGTGTGTGTGTGTGTATGTGTGATTTGTCGCTTTCTATCTCTCTGTCTCTGTCTTTCTCGTGAGCTCATGTGCCCTATAGCAAAAACCTCTCCAAAAAAAGAAAGAAAGAAGAGAAAGAATCCTAGATCCCAGGTAATTGACCATGGTTCAAATCCTGGCCCTGGCAGTCAGACAAACATAGTAAATCCTGTGTGTGCATGCCCTGAGGTCCTGCCAGGGTGGAGAAACGAGAAGAGATTGCTGCGTGACCACGCCCCACTAAGGAGTCTCTCTCTCTGACAAGCACACATGCCCTCTGGCCAATAAGGAAAAAACAAACCCCACAAACACGGACAGACTAAGCTGAGTCCAGAGAGGACCACCTTGAGGCTCTGCTTGGAGTTCTCCTTGAGAAGCGGTTGAGCATATCATTACTGTTTGGGGGCAGCCCATGGAGCCAGTGGTTACAGGAGCAGGACCCACAGGGCCAACCACACAGCGGACCCTGGCTCTGACAGCTTGAAAAAAACACGCAGGGCACGTATGTATGCATGGCTCAAATCCCAACAGGGTGGAGAAAGGGAGAAGCGGAGGAACTGAGACATGACCGTGCCCCTCGGGGGGTGCTTTCTCCCTCTCCCTCTCTGTCTCTCTAGGAGTGCACTGCCCTCTGGCAGCATTTTAAAAATATGTATGCTGGGAACCAGTAGTTAGGGCGTAATGACGATGTCCCTGGACTCCCACGTAATCGACCACAGTTCGCGTCCCGGACCCGGTGGCTTAAAACTCCCGCCGGGCGCGTGTTCGTGCGTGCCCAAGGTCCCGAGAGGAGAATGGAGGAGAAGGCATTGCAGCATGGCCATGCCCTCTGGGGGATGACTTCTTGCTTTCTGTCTCTCTGTCTCTCTCTGTCTGTCTGGCGAGCGCACGCGCCCTATAGCAAAATCCTCTCCAAAAATAAAAACATACACTGCCGGTATTGTAGCTTTCTGAGTCGACAGTGTGTGAGGGTAGCCTAGAGCACACTTTCCAGCCAGGGAGAGTCTTCTCATAAACTGGGGAGACGCTTTCTTTTCTGAAGCCCTCTGAAGGAGTCAGTGAGCTTGTAAGAGCAGGAGCTAGTTCCCTCTCAGTGCAGCCGAGAGTGGCAGAGAGCCTCCCCAGTCGGGTCTGGCCACGATGCAGTCTCTTCCTCTGATTCTTCATCCTTTCAGATCCTGGGCCAGGCCTGGAACCCTGGCCAGCCGTGTGGCTTCGGCCTAACTGCTGCGCTATGGAGCCAGTAGGAGTCCATTCTCTTTACCGTGGGACACCGTCTTTTTTTATATTTACTTATTTTTATTTGTTGTTGTTTTTTAATTTGACCAGAGAGAGAAAGTGAGAAAGCAAGCCACCAGATTCGGAACTCAAACCAGGGTCAACCATGTGGGAGTCCATGCCACCTGCCAGCCCCCGACTCGGTGTCTTACATGCACAACGCTCTCCGCTCTCCGTTCTGCAGAACTCCTGGGATGCCAGGCCCCGGCAGGCTCCCAGCAGGGCAGCGGGCCTGCAGCAGGGGGCCGTGTCTCCAGGGCCTCGTGGGCCATCCCCACCCAGCCTACGTCTGTCGCACTAGTCTCGCTGGCTGCTCGGTTCAGCCACGTTACGTTGGCTGGTAACATTTCAGTGTAAAACGGGACCGAGGCGGGGAGTATCAGCGGAATACCGCAGGCCATCCTAGTGGGCCCGCTTCGTGCGGAGGCGGCTGAGAAAGGGCATCGACTCACAGGCTGCATGCACCCCGGAGCCAGGAGTCCCAGACAGATACAGCCACAAAATAAGTAAATGGTGACTCCCGCCAGAAAACACCCTCCTCGAGCAGTTAACGACTGACAGTCGGGACGTCCCAAGGCTCTAAAGGGTCTCTGCTCTGAGGCCACAGGCTCGTGAACCTGCGACGGGAGGATGCTGTGTGTCTGTGTGTGCCCGCCCAGGGAGGGAAAGTGAGGAAGCATTGGCCAGAGAGAAAACAGTTCCCAGCTGTCCACGTGCCGTCAAATGGTTGACAGTGGCGATAACGGCGTGGGTTTGTAGTCTTTGGCTATAGGGTGTGTGCACTTGCCGGGGACAGAGGGAAATACGTGCGTGCCCAAAATCTGGAGAGGAGGACGAGAGGGGATTGTGGAGTGGCCATCCCTCCTGGGGGATGATGCTCGCTTTCCCTCTCTCCAGTGAGCACAGGGGCCCTAAAGCAAAAACTGAAAAAAATAGAAAAAAACAATTGACCCTGGTGTGCTCGTGCCACAGGAAAACCAGGCCACGGCCTGACAGCCCGAGCACATAGCCGGCTGTCGTGGCCCGTGTAACGACAACACTCTCAAACTGGGTTCTTCCTCTTGCAGGCTCTGAGGGGGTCCAGCACTTGAGGTGGCGGGCTGGGCCGGGGCTTGGAATCGAGTGCAGAGATGGACCCTGTCTGGCCCTGGTGCTGCCATGCAAGGCTGGGACTGCAAGAAGGCCCGGGTTCAATCCCCGGTCCAGTCTGGATGGGCCAGGTGCAATGGCATGCACGTCTGGTGCTTGCGAACTGAGGCTGGGCAAAGGTGACACCCTGTCAAAAACGTCTGTCTAAGAACAAACAAGCCACCAGGTAAAACAGCAGCCAGTCCCTGCCACTGTCCGCCTCCGTCGTCCAGAGGTCCAGCCGCTCCTGGCACAGAGTGCAGGCAAGTGTCGGAGAGCTGACAAGTGGCCGGCCAGACGACGGGTCCTGTTCTTTCCGCACAGAAAGGAGCGAGAGTGCTGATGCCCGCCGCACCGTGGACGGGCCGGGGGAGCCGCCACTTGCAGGAGGCCAGCCGCCGCCGTGCAGCTCCGCCAGGTCCATCCAGGCCAGGCAAAGGCACAGACAGGAGCAGGCCGGGGGGCGCCCGGGGCCCAGGAGCGACTGCTTGGGGTGCAAGGTTTTCTGTCAGGACGATGGAGATGTGCCGGGACAGGACAGAGGTGACAACCACGGCTTTGCGGTGTGCCAAAGCTGCTGCGACGTACACTCTCCGGGCCAGCTCGGAGCCGCACTGCTCCAGAGACACTGGGTCGACACGGAAGACTGGGCTCAGTTCCCTGGTCAGTCTGCTCACGCCGGACATGCACGCCCACGATCTTGACTGGAAAAGCGGGTGGCTCCGCTGCGAGACCCTGTCCAGGGTGCTTTCTGTCTCTAGTGAGAGAAGTCCGACAAAAACATTTTAAGTTTAAACTGGCTAAGTAAAAATAATGTATGCAGTCCCCTCCCCTCTAGACACTTTCTTTTCAGGAGCGCAGCCAGTGGAGGACAGAGCGCGCTCCCGCACTGGGGCCTGGTCGTGCGCGGTCCCCTCCCTGCATTCTCTACCCTCTCAGCATGGAGGTCCCGAGCTGCGGCCGCCACGTGGCTCCCCTCCCATGGCTTACCCGTGCCAGGGGCCCGGCCCCTAGGAGGGCTGGTTTCGTGTTCTGTGAGTTCCATTCCAAGGGCAGCCTTCCAGACTTCGGGCTCCCGCAGACACGCCCGTGCAGGCACCTGTCCTGCTGTTCGTCATCTGCTCCCACGGAACCAGGTCCCTGGCTGTGCTCTGGGCTCCGCGGGTTCCGGGCAGAGTTGTACGTGCTGGGCTTCCGTCTGGTGACTTGTAAGAGGAACGGTCTAACCCTCAGCGTCAAACCCCGCTCCCAGGCTTCCCTTGGGCAGCAGCAGGACAGGATTCCCCCGACACGGTGGGGAGCGGGGCGCAGGCCGTGGGGTCTCTGGCACATCTCCAGCATCCTGGACAGGGATTCTCCCCCCAGACGGATCTGAGGCAGCTGGGAAGCCAGGCTGCAGCTGCTGAGCGGAGGGGCCCGGCCTCCGCCGCCCGCCC